TCTGCCAGCTTACAAATAAGAAGGTCTGTAGTCTAGCTGAGAAAGAGGGCGGTGGGAGGAGAGCAATGAAATATTTGCATATTTCTTGCAACTTTCTCTCGTTCACCAAAGGCTCAAAACAGTGTGGTTTGCTGAGGCCCAGAAAATTTAGCTAAACACCTTTCAGATCAAACACTCAGAGGGACAGGATTGTGTTAGACCTGTAACATGCATAGATCTACATCTACATGAGGGACTGGGATACTTTGGGTAATGAAAATCCCAATTAAAGCACCAGAGAAACGTATCTCAAGAGCCAAATTGCTTCAGCTACAAGCCATCAGGATCAGTTATCTGACATGCAGCTCTGGCCCCACTGGACCTGTGCTGGTTCTGTGCAAGCAGCTCAGATGTTCCCATGCTGTTCCCTTCAGCACCCTGACTTGATAACCCAAAGCGCTGTAGATGACGGTACAGACATCTGAGCCAGCTTGGGTCCACACACCTCATTAGCTTGCTCTCTTAATCTGATACAAATCAAACTAAATTGTTTCTAGGCTCAGGGTGTCCTTAGAATTAACAGGACTGCAGTCATTCAGTGCTGCATCCACACTAACACATTCTTGCACAAAATCACCCCTGATGCGTATGTATTCCCAAAATGGTCAATCTGCACTGCAGGGAAGGAAGCAGTTGGTGTGCTACCAGATTTTCATGTCAGACAGCAGTGTATGCAGGCTATATTTTTCCACCACACATACGATTCTCCTGCAAAAGGTCTAACAAATTATTTAAGGTGGTACAGGCCTGTATTGCTAAGAGCACACAGGCACATAGAAAATATCAGGCCTGTATTGCTAAGAGCACACAGGCATAGAGAATACACCAGCGATGGAGATGGGTTTTGGGGAAATCGGTGGCAGCAGCAGAACCCCTTGCTGAAGCACCTGTAAGGAAAGATAGCAGGGGCCCACGTGGGGACGAAAAAGGGAGCAACTGGCTGCTTGGGCAGCATTTAGCGCTCATCATCTGTCCTCCTCCAGGGAGGAAAATGGCAGGCTGGATGGGCTATTACTCAGGCTGTGTTATATACATTAAAGCCAGAAAGTACGTCAAAGAATGAGGCACCCTGAGGACATAATGAGGGGCAGAATACCGTATTCGGTATAATGAACACTTTTCAGTTTCATCTGATATGCAGCTGATGAGAATTTGCATTGTGCCTTCTAGACTTCGGCTTACACTAGGGGGTTGGTGGAGCCTCTTCAGGTAATTCAGAGCGCCCTGGAAAATGGCCTTTTTTACAGCAGCCCTCACCCAGCTGGGGAAGAGCTGCTTCAGTGCTCTCAGTCCTCCCAGCTCCTCAGATCTGTGTTCCCCTGCCATTGCAGCCAAGGGAAAACCTGCTCTGATGAACCTTTCCTTGGCCCTGTCCAAAAGTCCCCTCTCCTGATGACGGGGCAGGACTGCTCCCCTCACTGCCCTAATCCAGCATGATTCTCTGGAGTACCAGAGGGGCATTAGCAGAAGAGGTTCTTCTGTACTAACTGGTCACTGGCTTCTGGTGCACAGGCAGAGGATCTCAGTTTCCAAGACCGCATTAAACAGACCATCAAATCCAAAATCAATTCTTCACCCCCTTCCTCTACTTGGGCAGCTAAGGGCTTGAGTTTCAAAAGCTAATTGAATTTTAATGTCTAGCTAAACTCTGTGCAAGAAATCTTTTCCACTAACAGGTCCCATTTTATAAGTTACTCCTCTCTCAATAAATCTAGACAAGTATAATTAGAGACTATTATTTATGGCATGAAAAAATCAATATCATCATAAAACTGCTGACAGCACTCAGCTCTTAGGCAAAGTCTGCAGAGCACAAGGTACTTCTTGCTTTTCCAAACTTACTGTGCCTACTCTGCACTGAGCTATGCCTTCTGCAAACCACTGGAGCATGTTAACACGTTTGGCCCATTTGCTCTGACGAGAGGACAACACCCGAAGTCCATTCCCTGGCTCTGCTGCCGCCTGAGCACATGACTGGAGGAATTCTCTCTGCTGCATTACGCACAGAGGCAGGCTCCAGAAATGAAGTCTCAGCCCTTTCAATTAGGAGCTTTCATTCCACCCATGAAAACAACCGGCCCATATTTTATAAGTGTTGTTGCTTTTATAACCACCCTCATAAAACGAGCAATTCCCCCTGCCTTTGAACTCAGGAGTAATTTGGATGTTAATCCAATCACGAAATGCAAAACCCGTTCAGAAGCAGTAAAGAACTTGCAGCTCTGCAACATAACTGTATACACTAAATATTTAATACGCACACATACACACACAAAATGCATCCATGGAGGTTTACTTATGCCCAGAGAGAGAGGGAGAGAGATGGGATTAGAACAACAAAAATGTGCTTTACTCTATAAAATAGACTTCTCCGTTCTCGGTGTAGGCCATCTCCCAGTTTTCCGGCAGAGGACCTAGGTTATCCTCGGCAGAAGGAGGTAGGTATTGAGGGAGGTTCTGAGATGGTTCCGTGGTGGGAACGTTGGTGTGGCTATCAATCGCGGACGGTGGGGCTGTCTCTCTTACGATACGCGTATTATGCTCGTCTTGGTCACCAGACTCTGCTGTAGAATGAATAAGCACAAATAAAATTGAAAATCAGTATTTTTCTCCTCCCATTTGCTTCTCTGGGTTTATCCTTACAGTTTTCCTCTTCTTGCTTTTGAATTCGCAAGACACAGCAACAGATGAACCGAGGGCAGAGACTCTGCAGTCTTTTTGCCAGCAGGGACGAGCTTGCTTTGCCCACACACACTCTGCCAGCCAGACCCTCGCCAGCGCAAATCAGAAGCTGTGATCAGCTACTGTGTTCGCTCTAACAGGCCCTGCTGAGGTAACCAAAGTCTTCCAAGCTGTCTGAGGCCAGGGCTCACTGATGTAGATGAGTTCAATGGGCTTCTGAGCAGGCTTACAGGTTCACTCCTGCAGTGCCAATTGTGGGACAGGGATTAGGAGAATAAAATTTCCTGTTTGAAGAATGATCAAAAGGGGAGATTTTTACAAGTGCAGAAGGTAGCCAGAAGCTCAAAGTCAACAAGCTAATGGTGAACGTCTTTACTGCAGTGCTTTTTTTTAAATTAAAAATTAAAACGAATGTCAGCACTACAGCATGTGTCCACATGTTGCTGCTCACTAGTGCCTGTTCTAGCTGTCTGAGGAGGTTTATTCCACGGCTCATCACTGTATCCTTCCAGTCAAAGTCACTCAGGAGTATTTTATGACGTGTCTGGCCCTCCTTCCTCTAAGGAAACATTTCTGATGATTATATCCATGCAGTTCTGAGCTGTATCTATGAAACACTGCTGCTCATTCTCTCTATCCCTAATCACAGTAAATGCTCTCCACAAACCAGGTCTGTGCCCCTAACTCTTTCACAGAGAGGTTTTGGCAACAACAGACAAATTCTAAAATTACCCCTGTGTCTAGCAAAGGGATTTTCTCTGCTTGGTTCTTGCAGGTGTTGAAAATCAATGACAATAGTTCAACACCGGAGACCACTGACATCCTCAACTCACAACCCACAGCCTTGGTTTTTGGGGGGGCCGTTAACTGCAGCTCCTGTGCTATTTCTAGTCTGTGTGCTGCCTTTACAAAAAGGCAAGATGCTGAAAATAATAAACTGGGAAAAGAGGGAAGAAAAAGATCTACACTACACCAGTAACCTCAGCTGCCTGCCTTCTAGCCTTCCTGGCATTCAATATTTTTAGGTAGAAGCTGACAAGATAAAGAAGCATGAATGAATCATTGCCAGCTTAAGACTGCGAGTGTAAACATGCCAAAGTCTGGAAAACACAAGTCATCGAGAAGTCTTCTAAGGAAGCAGGAGCATTTTAACATGGCTAGCACACTTACACGTGAAATAAGCATAAAGAATCGCTTTGGTATATGAGAAATAACTCTTTTCTTGATTCTGTGCCCATTTAATGGAGGCAAGGGGCGAGGGTGTGATAACTGTGATAAATGAGCTGCACCTTCCAGTATTTCATCTTGTGAAGGAAAACAAGGAAGAGAAATGATGCTAGAGTCAGTTCAGGGGCACCAAACTGAGACGGGCAGCAAGAAGGTCAAGCAGAATCTCCCATCATTTTCCTCCCAACATCAGATCCTGTGACAAGGGCTGAGGTTGCTGCCATGTCACAACATATGAGAAACTACTCTTATGCAAAACTTTGTAAAGGAGCTAGTAAGCAGAGACAGAAACTCCAGCCTGGGAGGGATTAGGCCAGCCAGGAGTGATTTGAGTTAGAAAGATGTAACAGAGCACAACCCTCAAATCCATTTGACAGTTTGGCCCAGGGAGGGTCAAAACTAAATCTCAGCCTAAATCCTTTTAAAGCTCTATACAGATGTTAGAGCCAGGACTTTGGCAGGAAGGAAAATTGTCATGGTGGTAGGAAGTAACCAGAGGACAAAGGACCAAGCGCCAGTGATGGTGAGCACCCACTGCAAGCAGCTGTGAAAGGCTTGAAGGTGTGGATAATGCCGCTTGCTAAGTACCTACCTCAAAGGGAGCTAGGAAAAGTGAATTCAGTGTTTGAAACTGAGCTGAGGAAGTAATGCTCTAAGTGCTAACATGTCTGCTCATGCAGACATGACGAAGAGCTCTTGTCCCTCAGAGCTTCACAAACTTCCAGTTCATTTCTGTGGAAACTCAACTCATCTCCAATAGTATTTTGCTCTGAATCTGCCTGCACAGCACTTGACTTCAAATTGCAAAAGTTCCCAGTGATCTTTCAGCTAATGCTCAAAGGTAGCTTCAGCAGGACACAAGGCCTTCATAGAAATAGAGAGCTTGCTCCCATGCTTCAGACCTCATTCCAGCAGCAAGCAGCCCTTGGTTTGCTGGAAGGTACCTTGGAGAAGAGGACCTAGTAATTGTATGTGATGGGTATCTCTAGATGCAAGGAAGGGGAAAGGACAGCAATATATTTTGGAAGGCGTAATAATTAATTTCAAATGTGTCCTGGTTGAGCCATTTCATACTGTTTATAATGACTGGAACTGTCAACCATAGCTCAACTCTTCCTTGAACTTTCTGCAACCAACGGATTTGAGCTTTTCCCCATTTTTTCTCATCAAGCTCAATCCCACAAGGCCTTTTGAGAAGACACAACTGTGCCTGTGATTGTCCACACCTAGACAACTGCCATCCCGGTGTCGTTGGTCAGTTCTGTCTGGGACTGACAGCTTTGCAGGTAATCCATTAAAAACAAAACCCAAAAAAATCTCCCTCCAAAAATCTCCCCCCACGTATCATAACTGGATGGACTGTGATATTTTCGTTTTACCTGTGAAGCTACTGCTCATTTCAGGTACATCATCCTCTTCCTCATTCTCTGTATGCACTATGCCAGCATTTTGCATATCATTGTAAGACTTGGTTCGCTTTGGAGTCGACTGCTTGGAGCCAGACTGCAGGTTTTGCAAAGCATCGGTGGAAGTCACTTTCCCACTGAGGGGCTGGCTGGGAGGCTTGGGCGTTCCATAATAGTTACCTAGGCAATAGAAAGACATTTGCATCTTCAGAGAGCAGTTTATAGCAGCAAGATTTCTATTGTATTTTCTTTTCAGTTCCATTAAAATCTCTGTTTCTCCCCACAAGTAAGTAAATAAATAAACTAACACATGCCATTCCCATTTTTAGGGGGCATATTTCATTTCTAGAGCAGACACGGAAATATTTCTTGCCTTTTAAGTTATTCTTGTTAAATCTAAAAGGAGAAGCAATGGTTGCATTGTTTAGGTGCACTGAGCGTACAAGGGCTAAAACAAAAGGCAGTCATGGTGAATAGCAAAACTTCATCTTGTTACATCTGAATTTCAATTAGTAGCTTTTTTACATGTGTGCACCCACACAACACTGTGGCAGATCTGGAGTGAGCCCTGCAGAAAATAAAAAATTCATGACTGCCATCAGCCAGATAAATGATGAAAGGCTCGATGGCCTGCTTTAATACACAGGTTCTTCTAGGGTGGATGTTGCGTTTAAAAAACAAAAACTATTCTCTCTCTAAAATAAAACTTTGTCAAAGGAGAGAAAAGGTAAGGTACCACGTGGCACTGCTTTCTTCAAACAGGAAACTCAGCAGTTGGGTCAACTTGGGTAGAAATGAACAACCAGACCTTAAAGCAAAACTTGAAGGGACAAAGACGCACCCACACTTACGCAAACGCACAGCTCTTGGCAGCCATCACCAGATGTGATGCAAACAGTGCAAAGTGCTTGGCGTACTTCACCGTCATTTTATGTGACCGTGGAAGAAATACAGAGTAAGTGCAGGTTCATTGATGCCAGAACCGCACAGAGGTATTTCACTGTTCCTGTTTTACTTCACCTCAAACACCACAGTGGTGCTTGACTTGCCCTGAAACACTCCACAGGAATCTCAGGTCTGGAATCGGTTCCCGCAGCACTGGGCATTATAGGAATTCAGGTCTACTGCAAGGCGCATCTTTTACTTTTTATACAATGATCTGTGATATACAACAATTTTACATAAAACTCCCCAAATTTTTCCATTCAAGAATTATTATTAATTTTCATTTGCCACCTTCAGATTCCAACGGTGAACTTAAAAATTCTCCCTACGCTCTCTGGCATGACAAAATACAAAGGATGCTCTCCCATATAGCTTTGTATAAACCCACATGGGGGTGCACACATATAGCTTCAACTGTGGCAGCAGCACAAAATTCTTCTCTAAAATATGCATGTACATTTGATTACATTCATCATCTATCTCCATAGCCTATGTATAACCTGAAAGCATTTTTCAATTTTTCAGTACATAATTATGTTATATATTTAATATCCATTCCCCAGAAAGTGCACATGCTCCTTTATTACCCCTGTTACGCTAGATGGAAACCACATGCCAAAAGCAGATTGTGCAAAGGCACTTTAAAACCTCATCTGTGCTAAAAAAGATTTTTTTTTCATTTATTTTTATACATATGCATGTGTATTTTTTGTTGCAGAAGCCAACAACATCACTCAGACACTGAGCTATGACACTGAGTTTAAAGTTAGCCAAGCAGCTCTGCATTGACCTGCCCCACTGCTGCATGCAGTAGTTCCACTCACCCAACGCATTTCATACTGTTCAGCCATCACACACTTGAGGTTCAAAATGACATATCCTTATTTCAGTTTGGAAGTACTAGTTGTTTATCTCAGTTCCTGTTTAGCTGACTGAATTGCCTTTCCCATTAGAGCATCCCTTACAACCCCAAAGCTGCACGTGTTGTCAGGTTTAGGGTAAGGCCACAGGGATCATGCATACCCCAGCACTCGCAGATCTCAGTCTGAGACTCTGGAAGGTCTCCGGACATATCGGCAGCAAGGGACACCGGGAATCACCCTGGCTCAGGCTGGCAGAGTCCATCTGGGAAGACCAATTTGGACACACGTCGCTATCTTTCCCATTCACTGCCTTCCAAGAGGAGAAAAAGTCTTTCTTACAGAGCTGAGGCTGGACAGGTCGGAGGAGCTCCTATCTCCATGCTTTTAGAGCCGGAGTACTAGGACAGCAACACGTGCAGGTTTGTCTTAACAAGGTGTGTTTGAGCCTGTATACAACGTCGTGGATTCAGCTCCATAGGAGCAGCAACGCTCCGCAACGCTTTCATCTTCTGTTCATCATTTCAGAATCTTAAATGTACATTGATGCATAATTTATAGGGAGAAGGAAATTACTTCTTCTGGAAAGAGCATCTAATGGGGATGGAGACTCCTCAAGCAGGTTGCAGTCACTGCTAGAGAAATGATTCTTATGCTCTATATACCGCAGGACTTTTTTATACAAAAAGAGGAGAAATGGGGGAGAGTGCAAAGGGAAAATACCAAGGTAGGTGGGCAGAAAAAGGATAATCAACCCTGCTCCCGTCCTATCCTCTTCGGCATTTCTCCTGAAGAATGCTGCTTCTTTGGGGTTTGGGGGTTTTGGGGTTTTTTTGTTTGTTTGTTTTTCCAAACAAAATGTGTGTTTTCTAAGGATGTTAACTGCTAAGCAGAGGGATCCACGTGTGTGCCATATACATGAGAACAGCTTTTATTCATGCCACTGCATATCACTATTTTGTGCAAAATTTATTTCAGGTCTGTTGTAAATGGTTAAATCTTTTTGCGATGGATGGAACAAAGTCAATGAAGGGGATATATAGATGTTCCTAGTGTGGATTTTTATTTCTCCTGGACAAGAACATAGATGTTACCATCCCTCCTCCAATTACAGAGAAATACATGATTATATCTTTGAGTTTTGTTCCTTTTCAGTTCCTCTAGCAACAAGCAAGGCTGGAGTTTCTAACAGTTCACTGAGACCTGTTCCTCAGTAGAAAAACAGGCTTCTCTAAAGTATTTCAGATTTGCTTACACCAAAATCATTAGTCACTTTTCAAACCAACCATGGTTGTTGGTACTACTATTAGTGAATAATTTTCTTCTACCAACACAGTGTGCTGTCTTAGAGGATTCCTGCAAGTATGTATGAACACATACAAAGAGCAAATATAAATTTGAAACTGAGCATGGCTCCGCATGTGTGGTTTTGTTTTGCAGAATATGGGAAATGCAGCCCTTGGGGCTGAACTTTTCTTTTTCCTCCACAGAAGGCAGATTCAGCCTGAGTCAATATTCCAAAAAATCACAGCTCTTCCTTCAGATTCACAGAAGGACATACAGGTTTGGGAAACAACCCAGCTCATGACGAAAAACTGCAAAAGAAAGGTCCAACCCAGCTTGCAGGTGACATGGAGAATGAGAGAAAATGGAAATACTCTCTTTTCCTCATGTTTGCTAGATGCAGTCAGACCTATTTCTCTTCTCTAAGAAGTTCTTTTTGAAGTCACGGCACGTGGGCCCAGGTGTGGGGGCAGACACACCATTAGGAGGGACCGGCACTTAAAATTATCACTGAAACTCATGTTTAATCCCAGAAATTAGAAAGAGAAAATATTTACCCTGTGACTCAGAAATCCAAACGTGCATCACTAACAACCGACAGTGAAAGAGTTTTAAAACACTCAGACTCGACATTATTTGTTTAAATTAAATCTGTCAATGTTTATGAAAAAACATACATTTAAAAATACGCTTTAACAGTGTTTTGTTAGCCACTTGTAAGCCTAAAGAAGGGGCTAACTTCATAGCCAGTGTAATTTGTATTGAATATCCAATCAGCTCTAATTATTAACAGCATGTTACATGTGCATACACAAGCATCTGTCATCCCAGAGGATCCCAAAACATTTTCTAAAGTCAGCACAGTAGTTATGGCAGGACTCCCCGGGGTGCAGAGCTCCCCCAACAGCTCAAGTGAAGCTCTGCAAAACTGCTGAAGGCTGTCCCCCTAACGTGCTGTCTCAAAGCGGGAAAGCAGCAGCCCATCTCCCAGATGAAGATGATTTCTTGATGAAGACAGTGGGAAAACCTCTACTTTTCTGTGGAAATGCCAGTTTTGAAGCAGCCAGCACGGCAGAAACGGCACTTTCCCATGTCTGATTCCTATGGGAACCCAGCTCCTACGCTCTACCCTCTTCTCAATCACATTTGGATCCTGCCTACAGCAACCAAATTAATAGCTAATAACAATGCATTCACTCAGCAGATGCACATGCCATTAACTGAATTCCTTGTCATCACCTTTCACTAACCCTTATTTTATTCAGTCCCTTGGTGCTTAAAGCTTATTTAACCACAACCAAAGTTTGATGGCAGCTTTTACATCCAAAACCATGACTTCATCCATGCACTCTAAAGCGCCACTCAGGAGAGTGCACAAAAATAACAATAATAATGAAAAAAATCAGAATAGCTATTTGGAATGAGTTGATTTCTTTTCATCTCCTTATCTCTCAGTGTCAGCAGCTTACACATTTTAGCATCACGCACAGTAATTAGACTTTGGTAACAGCTAATCACAACAATAAGACAAGTTCTCATCATCATAACACTTCTTCCTCTGCCAATTCAAGCAGTGATCATAATCAATGAAAGCAATCTACAGCAGCTTCTACCCTGTCCTGCAGCTTACGAATTAAAGCAACACTGTCAGCCAAGAGAACTTTCTTTTTACGTTTTAGAAGCCTAGTGATAACGGAAAACTTTTCTTGTATTTCAAAATAACAAAACATTCTTATTAAATATTCCCCTGATGGGCAGTAAATTCACAAACAACCTTAACTTTTTTACGTGACGTGGAATTTGAAATGTAATTCACAAAAATACACCAATTAGCTACCCATAAGTAAAATAACTATGAATCTAATCCGTAAAAACTTTTGTCAATCACCATTCCATTCAATTTGAGTTGAAAAGACTCCATCCATCCAAGATACTGTTTCTAGAAATGCACAAGAACAGACATGCAATCTGAAAGGGTCTAAAGTGGAATGGATATGAAAGTAGGTGTTTCACCTTGCAGAGAGGGAAGATGAGACCATGGGGGTTGCTGGGGTGGGGACAGGGCAGCAGAGCTGACATGGAGAGGTGAAA